GTGTGGCTAGAAACTGCTAACCTCAGAATCACTGAGGATTCAAAAATGCTGAAATCCTGAATTCTGAACACTGAATCCTGGGGGCTGCTTCTTCAGTCCTTCTATTTCTTATCAGAGTCTCCACCCCCACATATACTTTGTTTTGTTTTGTTTCAAACTTTTTATTTATTGTTAAACAATATTTGCTTATCCCCCACCCCACAGATTGAGTCCCCATAGAATTTCCTTCCCCAAGGTATCCATGCACCATCACCAAGGTATCCATGCACCATCATAGTTCCCTGTGCTCCCTCTCATCCCTCTCCCTCCTCCTCACCTGCAGTACGTCTCTGATTTATAATTGTCTGTTTTGGCTTTGCTGTGTTTTGTACTATTATTATTTTTTTTACACTGATGTCTTATTTGGTTCCCCTATATTCCTGTTATAAGTAAAACCATCCAATATGTTTCTTTTTCCTTCTGGTCTATTTCACTGAGCATAATTCCTTCTAGCTCCATCCACGTTGCTGCGAATGGCATGAGTTTATCTTTTTGATTGCTGAATAATATTCCATTGTGTATATATACCACATCTTCTTGATCCAGTCATCTATATTTGGGCATTTGGGTTGTTTCCAGGTTTTACCTATTGTAAATAGTGCTGCAATAAACATAGGTGCACAGGTGCTCGTTTGAATCAATGTTTTTGTATCCTTTGGGTAGATCCCTAGTAGTGGAATTGCCGGGTCATATGGTTGCTCCATTTTAGTAGACTGAGGATCCTCCAGACAGCTTTCCACAGTGGTTGGACCAGTTTGCACTCCCACCAGCAATGTAGGAGAGTTCCTTTTTCACCACCTCCTCGGCAACATTTGTTGTTGCTTGTTTATTTGATATGTGCCATTCTTACTGGTTTAAGGTGGTATCTCAGGGTGGTTTTGATTTGCATGTCCCTGATTATAAGGGATGTTGAAAATTTTTTCATATGCCAGTTGGCCATTTGCATTTCCTCTTTGGAGAAGTGTCTTTTGAATTCTTTTGCCCATTTCTTGACTGGATTATTTATTTTGTTTTTGTTGAGCCCTGTGAGTTCTTTGTATATCTTTGTGATCAGTTCCTTATCAGTTGAATGGAGTACAAAGATTTTTTTTCCCAATCAGTGGGGTATCTCTCAGTTTTGGTTAATGTCTCTTTTGCTGTACAGAAGATTTTCAGTTTGATGTAATCCCAGGTGTTTATCTTTGCCTTCACTATCACTGCTTTGGGTGATGAGCCTTTAAAGATGATTCTGAGATATATGTCTTGTAGTGTTTTACCTATATTTTCTTCTGTATATTTTATGGTTTCAGGTCTTTATGTCCAGTTCTCTTATGCATTTTGAGTTGATTTTTGTGCACGCTGAGAGGTAGTGGTCTAGTTTCATTTTTTTGCATGTGGAGGTCCAGTTTTCCCAGCACCATTTATTGAACAAACTGTCCGTGTTCTATTGCATAGTCTTTGCTCCTTTGTCAAAGATTAGTTGTTCATGTAAATGTGGCTTTATTTCTGGGCTCTCTATTCAGTTCCATTGGTCTCTGTGTGTTTTTGTTCCAATACCAAACTGTTTTAATTATTATGGCTTTGTAGTATAGTTTGGAAGTGTGATGCCTCCTTTCTCTTTTGTTTTCCTCACTAGGGCTTTGGCTATTCATGGTTTTTTGTGGTTCCATATAAATTTCATCAGTATTTGCTCTATTTCTTTGAAGAATGTCATTAGGATTTTTATTGGGAATAGCATTGAATCTGTATATTGCTTATGGGAGGATGGCTATTTTAATAATGTTGATTCTTCCAATCCATGAGCAGGGGATGTCTTTCCATTTCTTTGTGTCTTCTTCAACTTCTTTTAATAGTGCTTTATAATTTTCTTTGTATAGGTCTTTCACCTCTTTCGTTAGGTTTATTCCCAAGTATTTGATTTTTTTTTGTTTCAGTTATAAAAAGTTTTCTTGATTTTTTCTTCTTCCAATTGATTGTGTACAGGAAGGCTATCGATTTTTGTGTGTTGATTTTGTATCCTGCTACTTTACTGAACTGGTTGAAAATTTTGAGTAGTTTTTCTGCCTCACAGATACTTTGCATTTTCACTGGGGCTATCTATCCTCACCAGCAACCCCCTCCAGGGGTCACCACTTGTAACAGTCTTTGAGTCAGCTTGTATTGGTAAGGGAATTGATAAGGTTGCCTTGGGGACAAGACCATAAGACCCACCTCTGTGACCAGAAAGACCAGCCCAGCTCCAGGAATTCAGAGTCAGAGCAAGGATATACTTTGTGTCAAAGGCTGGCACCTGAGAGCAGACATCTCAGCAGTAACTGGTTCAAACTAGTGCCCCAAGTTAGAAGGTACATGAAAACAGAGTATAAAAGAGAACTTCAAATCCTCATTCATGCAGACTTCTCCAGTATCACCCACTGCTTCTCTTCGCAGTGTATTTCAATAAATCTGCCTTTCCTGTTCTCCATTGTGCCTGGTGAATTCTTTCACCCCATACCTCCAACCTCATCCCAATATTTCTTCCCACTATACTCATTATGAGAATTGAAAATAGGAACAAGTTGATTGGTTCTGGACACTGTGGACACTATCTGGGGCCACTTGTGACCTTAGAAACTCTCTTGTTTCTCCAACCTCTTATTTGTTAAATAAACCCTGTTGTAGTTGCAACCTGAGTCTAAGTGGTCTGGCAATTGTCAGTGTACTGGTGAAAACCCACTGAGAGTGACCTGTTGCCTTCTTTGGCGCTGTCCTTTGGCACTGTTTTACTATTGTTTTAATTGGACAAAGGAAAGGATCCAGGGATCCATCAGTTTGATTCCCATCCTCCAACAAGAAGCAGCTAATCCAGATGTATACCAGCCACTGTCCACTGTGTTAGTCTTGTTACAATATATGGTGCAGGATGAAAAAAAGATCACTCAGAGCAGAAGTGAATTGCAGCAATGAGAAGCCTAGAGAAACGACACCAAGAAGGTACAGCCCAGCCCTAAGGACAGTCTTGTTTTTATTTAGAATTAAACAGAGGCTGAAAAAGAAAAAGATCAAAGAAGTAAGCAGGCAAACGGGGAATGCACAAGTGTGTGTGGTTGGGGGATGCATAACCATCTAGCCCCATCCACGACTGGGAAATCAGGGAGAGAGTCAGGGGAAGCCTCAGCATTTTTGCTACTCCAAGTGTAACATCTATTGCTGTTTTCAGCACATGCTATCTTCGGCATGTATAGATCCTCATGCCAGGACTTTTGCCCTGAAAGTTCCTTATCTCAAACTTTCCCTGTTCATATTCTGAGTGAAAGGCATGGAAATAGTCAAGGCAAAGACACAGAATAGTTACAGCACAGAATAATCCAAGTTCCCACACTCCACCTGCTGAAAATAGGAGGGATGGACTAAAGGGCCCTGCCACAAGCCAGAAAAGGATCTTGAGACACTCTAGTCAAAATTGAAAAAGAGGAATATGGGTGAGGGCAGGCAAGGAATCAGTGTTTATTGATTAGCAAAGAGCAATTGAAGAGAACTCTATGGAGACCTCACTGGGCATGAGATTCTCTCTTCAAGGTGCCAGGGCTAGATAGGTTTTAGGGTTAGGGTTTGAGAACAAACTGACTGAGAAAGCAAGGAGAGTGGACTTGGCTAAAGTTCTCTTTGTGCAAGTGCGGTTCATTTATTATTGCTAATCACTGCAGCTTAGTGGTTGTGCAGGCTCTTGAACATCTCACAGAGGTTGTATGCCCACTGCTCCAGTTTTTATCCGTCTGTTCTCAGGATGATAGCTCTTTTTTCCCACAGCCACTAACTTGATAAGCTGTACGGATAGCTCAGGAATGTAGACTGGGAGAAAATCAACAATAAAAACAATGCGCCAAGGAATTTTATGGCAGCCACCATCAGGGCCTAGAGCATCAGGTTTAACCTCTTACCTACCAACCCCTGAGAACATCAAAGTTATGTTGTGCTTGAATCCCGTCCTGTCCTTGTCCTGGGACCCTTCTTGCCTCACCTCAGCTTGATCACACAAGCCATCATTTGGGGCCATCCTCCTCCTTCCTCCATCCCACCACCTCTCCGTTGCCCTTCTACCTACTTTTACATTACAGCAGCTTCCTCCCAATTGTTGTCAGCACTGGATTCCCTCCCCGGGAGGAGAAAGTCAGGATGCTAGTTCACCATGGCAGCAATACCCCACCCCTGGCCCCATGAACGAGACACGATGTTCACAGATTGAATTATTTGGGGGCGGGCATTTGTAATTTTTAAAAGTGTGATTGTAGATAGCGGGAAACGTATTGTCGAGTTTGGAATGAGGCACTGAGCCATATTTTCTTCCCCACACTGAGGGTGGGCTATGGAGGAAATGTGGGTGGGGCTGTTGCAGAAATAAATTCTAGCCTTTTACCCAGGCAGGGGAAGAACAAGCTGTACTTTAGGAACGGTGAGGTCAGGAAAGCTTTATTTCTCATGCATGAGGTCTCACACCTGGGTAGTCCCGTAAGGTCTGAGCACTGGTCTAGAGCCAAAGAGTTTCTTTTATACACAACCACTTTACATTGATAAAGTTGGTTAGTTAGCATACAAATTCTTCACACAGGAAAAGGGGAAGGATACAGATCTTTCAGGATGGCCAGCTGCCAGACCTTGTTTAGATATGCTTATTATGGAAGTAAACTTATTATTTACCTTACATTTCCAGGTCTATGACTCTTTAACAGGGAAAGATTTCTTTTTCTTAGCCTCCCTTTCAGGGATCAGGCCTTGTCAGCCAAGGCTGGGGACTAAGCCTTGCCCAACTCCCAGCATCAACTACCAGCTGCGCGACTGGGAGACCCTCCGAAATGTCCCAGCCCCATTCTCTGTAGACTCCATAGGGAACTGAGCAAGACCTGCCTTCCAGTCACTGAGTTTGGCTCGGTGACCTAACCTGCAAGAACTGATGACAGGGACACAGGACCCTCAGGCACCCCTCTCCTCACAGGCGGTCACACTCAAGGGCACTAGTGGGTCTCTCTTTTCCGCCTGATCACTGGGGTCTCATGGAACCAGGACGGTAGACTCAGCCACTCTGGGTCCCCACCTGCCAGCCCAGTGTAGGCAAAGGGAGCATTTCCCTGACAGACATCCTGCTGAGATGGAGTCCAGTGGCCAAGGGGGCATCACCTGCATGTTGGGGACCACTAGGTGCTTGGAGAACTCATTTCTGATGTCAGTGAAACTGTTCCAGTCCAAAAGGTCCAGGGTGCTGCAGGAGAAAGTTAAGTGAGCACAGGGACAGACACTTCTCAGTCTGGCTCCCAGCTTTACTCGCATGCACTACAATCTGTTGGGGTCCCAAGCCCAAAACCAGCTTATTCAACCTAAAGAGCAACCCCCTCACAAAACCCACCACAGTGCTCAGTTTTGAAAGATAGATAAAATACTAAGTATGGCCCCCTCTTTCAAATTTTAAACACAAAACAAAACAAGCATTTTTGCATTGGGGAGGCTGCAGCTACAAGAACACTAGGGCGGAGTGGGCGTGGGGGAAAGGTGCCCTGGAGAGATCAGGCAGGAAGCGGGCAGCACATACAAGGTGGTCACATGCTGTCACCTATGCTGGGTCCCTGGTGCTCTGGGCCCCAGCTCTCATGAATGAGATCTGGGGCTCCTGGGATCTCACCTGCCCTGACCTGTCACTTGCCTGCATGGGTGCAGCATCCTCACTTTGGAGCTTGAATAATTCTGTAAGAAGTCCCGCTGGTTCAGGGATGCGCCCTCCCAGTTGCAGAGTCTGGGCTAGCCCTGCACCCACATTGGCCAGTGCCAGGTCATGGCCCCCATGGACTCCCGGCTCCAACACTCCCACTCTGTGTGCCTCAAGAGAGCAGGTGCTTCAGTGACATCACTGCGAGGCCCAAGCAAGTGAGGAGGGGAACCAGGATCAGGGGAAGCTCCAGGGACTGCCCAGCTGGAACCAAGGTTGAACAGGTGCGATGCTCCCATCTTCTCAACCAGGGGCTGCTCTTACCCAGACACACCCAGGGTCTCCGCCTTGAACCAGTTTTCAATATCCACCCTGGATGCGACACCCATCTTCACCATGCTTTCCTTGAGAAGTGAGAAGGCATCAGCCCATGCCATGTCCATTAACATTTCCTGTCCCCTCCCCACTGGTATGTCGTGTTTTGACTGGGTTATATCATTACCAAGAATGGAACACAGACCTGGCTTGTGTTTCTGCTCCCCACTCATCCTTGCACTCCACAACTCTTTGCTATCTATAGAGCCAAAGCCCTCAGCCTCCCCACCTACATGTCCTCTGCCTCTGCTGTAGACTCCTTAGCAGCCAATCCCAGGGTTGGGCTACAAGCCCCAAAGCAGCTGTGGGAGCATATCTGACACAATGCCCAGACGGTTCCTCTGGGACAGGGCTTTCCCAAACCCCTTCCACTCATATCCATGGGGAAGGACAGCCCCACCTGCAGTGCCGCCACCTCCAACCTCGTGTCTTTGGCCGCCAGTCCAGCCTTCCCTTGTTCTGCAGCCATTTGGTAAAAGAACCTCCTCCGCTTGGTCAGCACATCTGAGAACTGTAGCTGCAAAGGCAGTCCTCAGCACCAGCTAGCATATGCACCAAGTTTCCAGTTCCTCGGACCCCCTCCCCATCTCATGTGTCTGCAGGGATCCCAGCCACAAGGTACCTGCACATGAGCTTTCACACAGTGCTCAGGGCAGTCCCAAGTTCTTGAAAACTTGTTCTGCAGGAGGAAAGTTGCAGCACTTACCAGAAACTGGGGTCTCCCCAATGCAGTGAGCTTAATGGCTGAGAAGCCATCATTGCTGGCTCCGCCTGTGAGAAGCCACAGGGAGAGTCATTAGAGTCCCTGAGGGGTGGGAAGTGGAGCAGGAGCCTGTGCTTGGCCCAGTCTTCGGTGTCCCTGGCTATGGCGCTGCCCAAACCATAAACACTGTGCACTCAGCTACTCCAGAGGCCCCACCAGAGGTGGATATGGGGTTTGCACTGGCCACATAGGTCCAGAAAAGTGGTGGGCAAAGGAGCCAGTAAGTCCTGCCTCATCCTACATAGCCCTAATGATCATTCCCCTTCCTGCCTCAATTTCCTCTCCCAAGCCATTAGCACCCAAGCTGCCCACTGTGGGGGGAGGGGAGGTCACAGAATAGAAACTCACAACAGAGCACAGGTAGCAATTCAGAAAAAGCTCAACCACCACATCATCTCTCCCTTCTGTGTCTTGGAAGCCCATGATGTCAAACTTGTTCTGCTGGAGGAAGGTTGCAGCACTTACCAGAAACTGGGGTCTCCCCAATGCAGTGAGTTTAATGGCTGAGAAGCCATCATTGCTGGCTCCACCTGTGAGAAGCCATGATGCTCGTGGCATGGGAGAGGAAACTGAGGCAGGAAGGGGAATGATGATCAGGCCTATGTAGGACTAGGCAGAGCTTACTGGCTCCTGGATGTCATCTTCATCTTCATAGCTTCAAAGCCTCCCCCCCTCCATCTGTCTGCCCCCAGCAAGACATTCCTGCACTAGAAACTAACAAAAGGCCCATGTCTCCCAGGGTTGGTTTCCTCAGCCACTCACTCGCATCCCCTTCAAGTGTTCCAATTCCCCCTACTGGAACACTGAGATACACAATGGGGCTACACTGTGTCCTCGGTGGGTTTTGAAGAAAAAAGACTTGGAGACCACCTCCTGGCTTAGCTTACCTCCCTTGGCAGCCATTCCCATCCCAAAGCTATGGGGAAGAAATTCCCTCCTCAGAATGTGGCACCAGTTCCCAAGCAGTGCAAAGTGAGTCACAGCCCTGCCCAGGATTGGGAACCAGTCAGAACCACTGACAAGACTGCCCAAAAGTCTGGCCCCTGGCTCCCAAGAGAGGGGCAGGAGGTGACTTCCTGGAGGCAGCCAAGCACCTCAGGAAGGAAGTGGATGTGTGTGTGACCTGTGTCCAGCCCATGGCTCCCAGTGTCACCCTGGCTTGTTGTCATGAATGTCCCAGAGAACAAGCCCCAGAGAGCTCTCCAGCCTCAGGCTCACATTTCCAGGGGTATCTCCATGTTCCAGGGGTTAACCCAGGTGGGCATGGAAGATCATGGCCAGCAAAGAACAGGCCCCTACCTGAAGCTTCGATGCAGCGCAAGAACGTCTCCATGTGATTATCACACTTGGCTTCGTTGGCGTAGAAATATGTGCAGGCACTGATGACGTGGTCTCTATAGTCGCCAGAGGCCCGGTGGGCCTGGTGTTGCTTCTCTCTTTTACTTGTGCCTAGAGAAGCAGGCAGAGGACCTGAAAACACTACTGGTTCTGCTGTGTTGACTCAAAATGCACAACAGGGCTGCTGGCATCCAGGGGTCCTGCTGACACCCCACAGCCCCCTGCCCTCTTGAGAGGATCCATGGCAGTCGAGGGCCTACACTATGCCTGTCCCCCCAAACCTACTGCCCTTGCACTTGCTATCCCTTCTCCCTGGGAAAACCCTTGTCACATAGCAAACCTTGGTCAAGAAGATTGAACCCAAACCAACCTAGGCCTACCTGGGAGGCCCACAAGACTGTGTCCAAATACACACAGCAATGGCCTGGGTGCCCATGGACACAGAGAAGAGCGGGGCACTGTGCCTGGGTACCCAGGCTTGTCTCTGCTCCTGAGCCACAGCATGGACTGGGACGGCAGCGGGGAGAGATCTGTTCCCACCTCTTACTCACCACTGCCCTCTCTCTCCAAGACGGAGGCACAGGATCTGCAGGTGGGAAGAAGAGGCAAAGGTAGGAGTCGTGCCACCTCAGGCCACAGTGATAAGCTTGTCCCCATCAAGGAGGCAGAGGTGTATGGGGCTGTGTGGAGCCCTGATGGGGAGGGCTATATAAGGAATAGTTGGGACAGTAGGAATACTCCCCCGGCCTACCCACCCAGGCCTGCAGGTCTCATTCAGTGCAGCCTCCAGCTACTCCCTACAAAGCCCAAGCCCTAGAGAAGCCTCAGGTTCCTCAGGGGTGGCTCCCCTGCCTCTGTGGGTAAGGAATGAGTTCTCAGAAGAGCCCCAGGCATGAGGTAAGTGCTTGAAGGCAGCTAACTAATAGGGTATTCCTTCTGAGGGCAGACAGGGCCAGACAGAGCTGAAGAGAAATGGAGACAAGGGCACAAAATCCCGAGTTGGGCATCAAGGGCCCCTTATTGTGTCCTCTGTCCCCCACATTTGGGTACCTCCTCCAATTACCAGTACACAGGTTCACCACTGGCCCTATCTCCAGCACCAACTGCCCTGCTCTTCTTTCCCCTGAGGCTTATTTTGCATGCAGCAACCAGAATTTTTCTTTTAAAATCCAAACCTTCCCTTGGGGTCTCCTGAAAAGCCCCCTAGGTCCTTGTGAGGACAGAACCAGGAGCCCAGTCCACGGCCCTAGCTACCCCACCCCACCCTCACTCTGGCTACTGGCCTCCCTACTGTTCCTCAGCCCTGTCTGGCCCGTCCCTACCCTGTCTCCCTCCATTCTAGCCCCTGTTTGAATCACAGCAGCCACCTCACAGTGGCTGTGCTATCTGAGGCAGTGAGAGTGATGGTTAAATCTACTGAAATGAAGGGACTGCTTGTGTCACTGCCCACGGGGGCTGGGGTGACACCCAGCAGCCTCCACTATTATCCAACTTGGTATATAAAGCCTCTTAAACTAGTTACTATGGAGATGGCTCAGTGTAGCTGCAAGGCTGTCCAGTACTATGGAGATGGCTCAGTGTAGCTGCAAGGCAGCCTAAAACCCCAGACCTCCAGGCCCTGTGCTCTGCCTATGCACCGCAAAGAACAATGATAATTTCCCCCTGCATACCTGTGGCAAAGGTAAAACAAAAGAAGCCACTGATAACGCTGGTGGCTGAGTTCGATCCCCAGCCACAGAGCTACCACATGGCGCAGCAGACCTCTCTTGACTCACCCGCTGTTTCCCTCAGCAATGTATTTCAGTGTATCTGCCAGTTCTGTTTCCCACTCTGTCTCTGGTGAATCCTCTCACCCCCCCACACCTCTGGCCTGTACCCCAGTTCTTGTATGCTTAAATAAATAAATCTTTAAAAAAAAAAAAAAAAGAAGAAGAAGAAGCCACTGAGAGGTAGCCTCAGGCCATGGCACTTTTTCACTTCACTACTCCTACAAGTCCGACCATCTGGGGGCCCTCTAGGAGCCCTCCAACTTGGTTCTGGCCCAGTGCACTCCAGGTCTGTATCTGAGGACTTTGAGCCAAAATGTCCAGGTCAGGACTTGAAGTCCTGGCAGCCAGGCCAGTCTACAGGGGCCAGGGATTCCACACGTGGCACAGCTGCCTGGGGATGGGGCTGGGGGTTGGGCAGGCAGTCACTGCTCCAGCTGCCTTGTGCAAACCAGGCTCACATGGTTAATATAACAGAAGAGGATGAGGCGTCACTGGACAGTGTCTGACTGGAATGCAAACACCTGACATCTATGCAAGAGATAAGGAGCTCTCTGGGCTCACTCCCAAGGACACCTATGATGACAGTTTCAGGCTCCCAGGTTGTAGATAGGTAGAACCAGGGAAAAGCCATCCCCTGAGGGGGAAGGCAGGACAGGGCCTGTCAGCAAGGATCATAAGGACAGAGACCTGATCTAATGGGCTCAGATAATGTGAGCATGAACCACAGTGCATCTGCCTTCTAGGCAGATGGTAAAACATTCTCCAAAAGGTCCCCAGGGGCCATGACCTATTGAAGCTCAGCATTTCCACAGATGGCCTGCTGGACTCCAAAGATGCAGGGGAGTGGGGCTGCTCCTTTGCTCCCTCCAAGTAGGCTCCCAGCAGGCTCAGCTGCAGGACAGCCATTTCCATCCATGAACCTCCTGGGCACAGATAAGACAGGAAATACTTTAGAAATGGGCCAAGCAATGGAGCTGGGCTAGCTGCACTGTCACAGGAAGAGGTGCTGTCTCAGAGCAGATCCTAGGCATGGGGAGGGGGGTCATATCATCAGGGGGAAAAGAGACTGTCTATGCACACACATGTACACATATGCAGGCACACACATGTGGGCTGGGGAGCCCAGTGTGGAGAGGGGAACTATGTGTTCTGGCAGGCAAGGGGCAGAAACAATCACAAGAGGCAGTGAGGAGACCCTGATCATCCCCTGAGCTGCTTCCAAAGATCAGTTCTCAGCTACATGAGGGACTTGCTGGCTGGATGCCTATTAGAAGAATATAAGGGGAGGAAAGCAAGGGAGACCGCACCACCTGCACTCACCCTCACATAGCTCTTCCCTAAGGAAAACACAGATTGGGTGACAGGTGGAAGCAAAGTCCAAGGAGGAGGTTCCCACTTGCTCTAAGGTTCCCACCTTAGAGGCTAGGCCAACTCCTCAGACCCCCAGCTCCTGGTTCCAGGCTGTGCTCAGTCACTCTGCTCATGACAGTCCTAAGGAAATGGCCCCTGAGAGTCAGGGTCCAGGTCCCACCCCCCGCCAGCCAGCGTCTGCACAGCAGGATGGACACACCTGCCATCCACACTGTTCCAGGCTACTATTACCACCTAGCATCAGGAATGTGCCCTTAGTCTCATTGCCCATCTCTGCAGCTCTCAGCCTCCTGGGGCTGGCCCTAGCCTCTACCTTCTAACAAATGATCTGGGGAACATTATCCCACCCCCTCCTAAGTGGCTCTGCTGCACCTCCCTTGTGCACCTCCTGCTTTCTACCTGGCGGCAGTCCTCCTGGATCCCCCTTCCTGGGCCCCACCTGTTGGGCCTCCTGCACATTCAGATACTTCCATAATTTCCTGCCTCACAGTTCTGCCCAGGTCAGGCCAATACCACCCATGCCCACCCACCACCACGGCCTTACTCTGGGCAGTGGTCTCCCAGCTCTCCCAAGAGCCTATGGGCCCCATCAGAAATAGGAGAATGGCTTTCTGGGCCCCATCAGGATAAGAAGCTATTCCCCAGCTCAAGGGTTACACAGTCCCTCCCAGCCAGAACTCCCAGTAAACCATCCAGATGTAAATGTTCCCGTGGAACCTTTAAGTCCAATTCTGTCCCCCCCAACCTAGGCCCCTCTGAAGGCATGATGCTGCTAGGCAGTGGAGCTTGGGGGGCATCCATGACACCTGCCATAAGCATCAGCCAGCAGTCACCCTGTTAGGATGCTAAGGGACTGCTGCTCACGTTCCAGAACCTACTGAGTGCAGCTCAAGCAGGAGTGCACAAGCACAGCACAGATAGAAGGCAGAACACAAGCCACCCACTTCCCAATGCTCCCTCTGCAGGGCAGGGAAGAAACCAGGGAGTGGAAAGAAGTCTTTTCATGTCAGAGAGAAAATTCCCTGGTGAAAACACCCAAAAGTGGCTGGGACACAACCCATTAGTTATTCAACAGATAGCCTCAGCAAAAGCAGCCCCATCTCACAGCCCTGGGAACACAGGGTCTGAGAGGAGAACTCCGCCTTCGAGACAGCGAATCACTAGGCAGGGGCAGGGCACCCCAGGCCAATTAGCCTCACTGGCTTAGAGGCAAGACTCCAAGGCTCAAGGCTGGACATTCCGTTCCCAGGCAGGAAGGCTCATGTGACCCTTCCCCCTCCCAGCTCCCAGGCTAGAGCAAACATCACTGCCTGAGATGGTAGGTTACTCAGCAGGCTTGTCCACACCTCCCATGGGTTGGGCACTGCTGCTGAGGACTCCAGGCCCCGAATACAAGAAAGGATACACCTGGAGGCCGCTAGCACCAGCACAGAAACTGTGCATTTTACAAGAAAGAGCTTGTCTTGCCTGGACCTCCAGTGAGGCGACTACTCTGGGAAGCAGACAGTGACCCGGTACTCTAATTCTTTCCTATGGCCCAGAAGGGCACATGAGGAAGATGCCACCTTTCCCCACACTCACTGCCCAGAGGACAAGCCCTACAGCACAGGGGGAGCCAGGGAGAAAACCCCAGGCTGGTATATCACACTGCTCCTGCCTGTGCGGTCCCTTCTCCGAAGAAGCACCAGGTCTGGCTTGTCACCTACAAAACAGTCTCAGCGTCCAGAAAGTGAGACCTGTTGGGCAGGTCAAGAATCCCCTCCCCACCCCACCCTGTGCTTCCCCCAAGGAGAAATGCTTTAGCAGAGAGGAAGCCAGAATCCTCTGATACCAGGGTGGACAAATGTTTTTGTAAATGGCCTGGCAGCACCTATTTTCAGCCTGTGGGTCACACAATGTCTGCCAAGCTACTCAACAGCTTTCACTTGTCTGGCAAAAGCAATATGAATTTCATGTAACTTTTACGAGTCACAACATTTTTCTGTTTTGATCTTTTTCAACCATTAAAAAATGTAAAAATCATTCTTAGCTTGCAGACCATACAAAACAATGTAGTGGGCAGTACAGTTTGCCAATTCCTATACTTGCCCCTCCTCCAGCCTCATACACACTAGATATCCCACCATTCTCACGTGGCAAAATGCAAGAACTCCAGGAAGAACCCAAGACGGTCCTCCCTGGTGGTGCAAGTGGATGCCTGACAACCTCTTAATAGATAAAAACGCAGCACTATGAAGCTATCTGCAACCACTGCAACACGAGCTCAATCCCTGGCCAGAGAGGTGACCCACATGGCACAGCAGACCTCTGACTCGTCCGCTGCTCCCCTCAGCAGTGTATTTCAGTCAATCCACCTGTTCTGTTCCCCACTCTGTCTCTGGTGAATCCTCTCACCCACCACACCTCTGGCCTGTGTCCCAGTTCTTGTATGCATAAATAAATAAATCTTTTTTTTTAAAAAAAAAAAAAAAAGAATCCAAAAGGACCTTTGCTACTCAGGTTAACCAAATTCTCCAAGGCTTGGTCTCCTCCTAGCCCAGGTCACAGCCTAGCCTCTGGTCAACCTCAGAGGACTCTAGGGTTGCCAGCAGATGCCCAGGCAGGTCTTACTCCATCTCCTTGTGCTCTGCCTCCTCAGAGCTCAGGTCCTCCTCCACCCCGTAGTCCAGGATAGAGCCCACGCCGAAGGCCCTGTTGTGCTGAATCAGGGGCCGGATGGATTCCTGGTCCTCGCCAGCCACAAACTGCCCGTAGAAGGTCATCTTCATGAGTTTATCAAACAACCTTTGCCCCAGAAGTCTCCTGGCAAGGTGGAGCAGCTGAAAGGTAAAAGGAAGTAGCTGTCCTGGGCCCAACCTCCCCTGCCCCCAGAAGGTTATCCTACCCACTTTACTCCAACCATGAAGTCTTGAACATTGTCCTCAGGACCAAAATAAGCTCACAGTCCTGATTTTATAATGGAGACTGCCCAAAACAGCCTGCTTCTCTGTTCACAGCCACTGTCAGTCACATGTTCTTCACAAGGGGTGGCCAGTGCCAAGGGTCACCCCCTTGGCCACTCTTGCCTCACTTCCCTGCAGACTCAGGGGTGACTCCAGCAGCACACAGCAAATGCCTGACCACCACTTAGCGGATAAAGATGCAAATGGCTGGTCTCTCTGGATACAGCAGCAGGAATGCATGTACTAAGATGCTCTGTGCCCTTACTTCAGAGGCTACACTGGCCAACAGGAAGATTTGTTGCAATTTTCTAGAAGGTAAGCACCTAGATTTTGCAACTTTTTGTTTTCTCCTTATTCCAAGTTTCTAAAAGTGGCAAGGTGCTGGCCCTCCACTTGTCCAACAGATGATCACATAAAAAACACAGAATGAGTGAATTCAGCTGGTATTAAGTAAAGGCTAACAATAAGCCAGGAGACCAACTGAAAGGTCTGTGAGATGAGATCCCTCTAAGGGACTAGGCACAATCATGCATGACCACAGGGGACCAGCAGTTCAGCTGCCCACTCAGCTTTCTCCTCCAATCACATTTTGCCATACCCCAAATTTCTGCCATCATTCTGCATCAAACATGCAGAGCAGCTGGTTCATGCCCAACACAATTCTAGGCTGGACAAAACAGACTGGGTACCCACATTCTAGTGGCAGGGAGATAGCAAATGAGGGCAGAGCAAGGTACTGCCACAAAGCAATTCAGAATATGGAATGAAGGAGTACCTGGGTGAATGAGAGCTGAAGGTATTTGCTAACATAGATTCACAGAGGAGGGCTTGCTAAGGTAAGCCACAAGGGAAAAGCCAGGACAGGAGGAATGAGGACAACTGGAGATTCCTAGGACTGGAAGGACACACATACTACTTGCCTGGGAATTCCTGTGTCTACTGCCCATCACTTCAGCTCCAAAGCAGGAAAAACCCAAAGTTTCTCAAACCCCCTTTTTTTTTCTTGGAGGTGGGAGGAACACTTAGAATCAGGGCCGCAGGAAATAATCTCTATTTTAAGTAAAAGCATGAGCAAGTCAAAAACCTTCAGCCCCAAAATCAGCCAACAGACCCCCTAGACAACCGCTTCCTCCCTAGTCATACCTGTCCCCCAGGTACCTCCTTCCTGTTACCACTGCACTGCCAACACTTGAGCTCCTTTCCTGCTGTCCCTCAGATGCTGGTGCTCCCCAGAAGGTTCTCATCACTTTCCACCCTCCCCCCACCAACTTTCTTGACCTCAAGTGTTCCTTTTCCCCTTCCTCACTGGTTGACCTGGATTTGCCCCAGCTATGACTTTACCTTGGGCCACCACAAACTCAGGGTAGCTTCCCTGAGGCCTCCACCTCTTCAAGTTGGCCCCTTCTTCCTACGATTCCCCCCACTCTCCAACATTCCTGCTACCATCAGTCCTAGGCTCTGAAGTCAACCATGAAGCTCCCCAAGGGTTCCAGGCCAACACCTCTTCTACCCTCACAGTCCCTTCAGAGTCACCTAACTCCAACTTGTGGCTTCTGCTTTCACCTCCAACCACAATAGCCAGTCCCAGGATCAGGGTGAAATAATTATCATCTCTATACCCCCACTGGCTAACACAGTGTTCTGCTTTTAATTCCCATATCCTGAAAGCCTTTTCAAAGTTTTCAAAGTTACTTTTCAAAGTTAGCAGCTTAAAGTTTTAAAAGTTGAATGTTTGGGGCCTCCCTGGTGGCTCAAGGGGTTAAGATACAACCTATGAAGCCATCGTAGGCACTGCAGCACGAGTTCCATGCCCCCACAACCCACATGGCCCGGCTGACCTCTCCCAACTCGCCCACTGCTCCCCTTAGCAGTGCATTTCAATCTGTCTGTTCTTTTCCCCACTCTGTCTCTGGTGAATCCTCTTACCTCCCCGCACCTCTGTCTTGTACCCCAGTTCTTGTATGCATAAATAAATCAATCTTTAAAAAAATAATAAAGTCTTTAAAAGTTAAAAAAAAAAAAAAAGCTGGATGTTTAAGAGGCATCCCATTTACCCTTTAACACTGTCTGGAGCAGCCCTATCTGGGGAGCAGGTGGGTCACAGCTATCACAGGCTGTGAGCCATTCAGCACCTCCAGACTTCCTTTTGGGTAACAGAGAGAACACTCCATTTTAAATTTCAGGTAATAACCATACCCTAAAAAAAATTCAGTTGGTCTTTGCTTTCAGTTGGTAGTAACTGATATGTAGGAAAATTCATGTTTTTAGTTGGTAGTAATGTATACGCAGGAAAACTCACAAGGCCCAAAAAGGAATGCAGGAAACACCTCCCTTCCTGACTCAGGGCCACAGGCGATGTTCAAGAGATCCCGCTTTGAAACTTCATTAAGCTTCCCTGACAGGCAGAAGATCCCCACAGGGCCCGGCCAGCTCGCACCCTCGCGCCCGTGCCCGCCCCCTCCCCTTCGCGCCCCCACCCCCCCACCCCCTTCCCGGCCGCGCACCTGTTCGTGGTGCGCCAGCAGCAGGGGTGAGGCGCACAGGCGCAGCACCAGCAGGCTGCGCACCAGCTCCCAGCTGCGCCGGCTGCGGTACGCCTCCTGCGCGTTGCCGAAGTCCACCGCGGGCAGCAGCAGCCTCGCGGCCTCTGCCACCCCGCGGCCGGGCACCAGCCCTGGGCCTGCCAACGGCGGCTCGCGGGTCCCCGGCCCAGGGAACGGCGGAGCGGGGCTGGGGGCGCCGAAGCGCAGCAGGGTCCAGATGCGCCGCAGAGCCATGGCTGGACGCAGGCGTGCGCGGAGCGGCTTAAGTACGGCGCCGCCGGCCCCGCCCGCAGGCTCCACCCCGCGCCCCGCCAGGCCCACTCCTCTACTCGGGAGCTCAGTACCTCGCGGCCTTAGCCGCCCCGCCCCCGGGAGGCCCCAACTGCCACACCGCGCCAGGAGCCTTGCCCTTTGCTAGGAAGGTCCATCCTGGCTCCGGAGCCACTCACCTCTCGGGAGCCGCCTCGTCTCCCTCCCCTCCCCCCCTTTCCCCTTCTCCCCTCCCCCCTCTTCCCCCTCCTCCCCCCTCTTCCCCCACTCTCCCTTCTCCCACCTTGCCCACCCCTCCCCAGCTCTGCCCTCCTCCCCAGACGCTCCAGCCCGGGACACAGTGGAGCTGTAGCAAGCCCCGCCGGCAGGCGGCCCTTCTGGCCCCTGCTCCTTAATGGGTGGCCACTGTCCTGAGCAAGACCTTGTCTCCTTGGCTGCCTACCCCCAGCTCCACCCTCCCTGTCTGAGTCCAGGCACCTCCAGGGACAGTTACTACCTGGTATGTGATTTCTCCAGGCATCCCAGGTCTTTACCTGGCTTGGGGGGTCAGAGTGATAAGGTTCGGGAGGGGAGGAGATGGGTAAGATACCATGCATGGTATAGTAGGAATCTGCACAATCGTGTTGTTTATGGCCTGTCAGTCCTGAGTGAATTTTCCAGCCCGAGGACTCATCTGGAGGAGGGCAGGGAGCCAGTGCTCATTGCAGACCAGCCTCAGCACCGCGGGACGAGCATGACGCCAGGTGTCCAGGAGGGTAGTAAGGAGCTCCGGGGCTGGACATCACAATCTCCTGGCAGCAGTGAAGGCCTGCTTACTGCTGAACTGTCTTTGTTCAACGCACTAAAAGGCAGCTGGAAATGAAATGTTAAGGCAGTTTCTTTAGGGTGTTAACCACCACCCCCCCAATCTTCCAGATTGCCAACTGTCTGATTAAAGCACACCTTAAAGAATCAATTCTTGTTTCTACTTTATTGGTATTCAATGATGACAAGTAGCCCGAACTCACATCTTCCCAATCTTCCAGCTATAGGAGCGGTTGTATACCTTCATACTGGGTACCTCTCAAGGTCCTTGACCCACAGGGACTCACAGCTGAGGCCAGGCCTGCAAAGAATTCAGGAAGGCCTGAAGCAGTCCTGCTTCTCCTCTCCTTTGAAGGAGTGTTTGGTAAGTCATCCACCCACTCTACGGGTCCTGCTGCACCATTGTGGGAAGGGGGCCTCAGTTCCACTCCGGTCATCCCATTCCCACAGACCACCCAACGGGTGAAGAGGACTGCCAGGCTCCCCTTGGAGTCCCTACAGCCACTGATGGAGGTTAAGGGTAGAAAACTTGGAACGGAGGCACCACAAGACCAGAAACCTGGCTCACAAGGCCAAAAGCCAGAAGTGGGGGTAGGAGTGATTAACATAGTCTTTAAATCAGCTATAGAAATGAAAACTCTTTAGGCGCCAGTTGTGCTATAGAAGGAATAGAAGGAATCACCAGTTGCAGGCCAGAGGTGGGAAATGGAAATAGAGGACCATTGTAAAGAATCACTGGTCCTAGCAAATCAACCTAGTCACACCCTAGGTGTAATTAGGTTAACAAAATTTAACAACTCCACAAAGGAGTGAACCTCTCTCAAAGAGAAGACTTTATCAGTGTAATTTTGGCAGTGGCGTGGGGTAGCACCTTTCTGCCCACCTGCGCTGTGCAGGTGCTCCTTGCCACCATCTTTCTCCCTCTTCAGGGCAGCAGCCCTCTTGCCCACCTGTGACCATGCCAGTGGTCTTCACTGAACTTCTCCCTTTGCAAAGCAACAAAGGCAGCTCTCCTTCCAAGGCTGCCAACCTGTGACCATGTAGCAAACCTGACACTTTCAGGGGCAGCTCTTTCTGCCCATTTGTGTCTATGCAAATGTCCTTTATTCTTCTCTCCCTTTTTTTCATAATAAACCTGTCCTAATGCCTCTGTCGAGTGGAGAAACTCACCTGAGAAACTCGCTGGTGCCCCATGCTGCTAAAAGGGGAGCTCTGGTGAAACTTATCCCAGAATTGACCCAAGGACCCCACTCTCCAAACCCAACACCTCCCAAACCAGACCATGGTTCCTCCCCCTCAGTCTCCCTTATAGGCTCCACTCTCAGTGCCACCCCTTGGAGTTGATAACAAAACCCCCTGCTTTGTCACCTCCCTCAGTGGGTTAAGGCAGGTTAACTCAAGCCTTCCTTTACTCCTAAAAGCCTTCCCACCATTAGCCTCAGATGCTTTTTGGCTCTGCAGCTCAGACCCAGATATCACTTCTTGGGACTGTATCATAATGGCCCCCACTCCCCATCATTCACCCATAAGTCCCTCCTGTAATTCCTCAGACATTTCTACCCCTCCCCTCTAGGTGCAAGGTCTGGCTGTGGGTGACAGCTATACTTCACCCCCTCCCACCTGGGCCACCTCATCTACCTCATTCACCTGGTTTGCAGCACATGCTCCATGCACATTGGGACTCTGGGTGCCCTAACCTCTTCCATTTTGTTGGCCTTTGTGTAGTCCTGTGCATTGCAGGATGTTTATTAATGTCCCTGGTCTCTACCCACCGCAGCCAGTAGCACCCTCCCCAGATTGTACTACGATCTCCTGTGGGACACCATTACCCTCATTTACATGGAGCAAGGAACTTACTGATACAGTCATGGTTTTTCTGACCCCTCTCCCTCCTGATGGAGTTGAAGAGAAACAGAGAGAAATGCAAAGAGCAGGTTAACTGAGGCCCAGAAGCAGCAACTCAGGGGTTCTAGTAGCCCAGAAACATAGCTCACCAAGAATAGGTAGAACTGGGCAGTTGGCATGGCCACAAGCTCCCTCCATTTTTCTTTCATAATAATCTTCCCATTGAAAGAGGGCTATGGGGGTGCTATAGCAGGTCAATAAGACAGTGGCCAGCTAGAGGACAGGTCACTGTCTGTGGGTTCTCACCAGTGCTCACAATTGCAAGATCCCTCAAGCTCAGGGAATAACAGTGGGGTTACTTAACAAATGAGGAAACAAAGACTTTCTAAGGTCACAGGTGGCTGTCCACAGTGTCCAGAAGTCCTACACAAATGGCCACTCATTAAAGATGGCACTATGCCACCAACAAGGATCTGAAACTCATGATTTGCTAGCAAGCAACAGGTCAGGATCCAACTCACTGCACCTGGAGATGCTCACAGCCAGGGCTGCTGAGAGGATGCCACAGGAGTCCACAGCAACAGCCTGAAGGTTGGGATGGACAATACCACATGTTGGACCAGGCAGCCATAGAGGCAGCAACACCAGGAGTCAGTGCTGGACGATCAGATACACCATGTTAGCAGCTCTCAAATGTGACCCAGCAATATTGGGCAACACTGGCCAGTAGTGCTGGTCACCCAATCACCAGAGGCATTGTTAGAAACACCAGCATAACAACTCTTTGTGAGTTGTTGGCCCACAACAACAGCTCTTTGAGACAGGAGGCCTGGGACCTTTGGTGATCTTTTCAGGGGGTGGCAATGGTAGGACCAGAGGCAGGTGCAGCCACCCAGTTACTGTGAAGCTCTTTGACTTCTCTTCAGAATTCAGCTCCTAGCTGCTTCTGTCTTCTTTCTTCTTCGGGAGCCAGGAATAGAGTTCCAAGCTGTCCTGCCTTATGTAATTTTTCAGGGTCCCCCACCCTAGTTGATATCTGCCTCACTGGACCATTTTTAATTCTAAGTGACCAATTGGACAACTTTAAGACCACACAGTCCATCTGGTGCTGAACAATTAAATAATGAGCTGATGAACACAATTGGTTCATTTTGCTCCAATCGCATTGGTTCATTGTGCAATCCAGGCACCAAAGCTGTTCCACAGCCTTCACATTGCAGGGTGGCCTGGGTGCTGCTTAGAGGCAGCACTCTGGGCAGCCAGCAGAAAACTCCCACTCAGGCTCTGCACTCAAAACCAAGCTGGTACCCAGAGGAGGGGCTGTCCACGGGCGGCAACTTCTGGCACCAATGGGGAAAATAATCACATTTTTTCAACAACTTCTACAGCTTAGGTGGCAACGGGAAAATGCCAGTCTTGTCCTGTAAAATCTGTAGGGCTCCAGTTTTTCCTCCTCTTCAGGGGCTCCCTGCTGCTATCTAGGCAAGGCTCACCACGGTTCATTTGCCCTGATGGCCAGACTCCTGCCCACACCCACCATAACTCTCTTATCTTTGCTGGCCACTCTTCTGGCCCTTCCTCTCAGCTCCAGACTATTTGCATGCTGCTCTTGGGAATGCACTTCTCCTCCTGCTCCCTGGTCACCCGTGTCATTTTCTCAGGGTCAACTTGGTAGGTATGAGGTTGGTCACAACTCCCTCTTCTTGCACTGGATACCTTGACTTCAGGGTCCCAACCACCTGCCCCACATTGCCTCCTCCATGTGTCTTTATGGAAGGAAGAAACATGTGTGGTATGGGAAGTTTGCCTCCGGCTCTAGGATAGTAACTGTGGGTTCAAGATTCATCTTCCAGGCCCTGCCCTGACCCTTGAATCACCCTGAACCCCACCCTTGTTCAGTACACTGGTTCCTGCTTTTCAAGCAGTCACTCCTTTGAGGCTATGTTCTCATCTCTGATCGGCACACCAAGGCCGGCCTGCATTGCCATCATCTCCGTGGAGTATCTGCCTTCCAGGATAGGACCTTGGTTCCCATCTTCAGCCCTTCCCAGGCACCCTCTGTCAGAAAAAACAGGTGCATATACATTGACATATGTCAGTGACGTGCTGCCTGCTGACACACAGGACTGAAGAAAGTGGGAAGAGACAGCTCTAGCCCTAACCTGCTCCAGGAGCTAGCACTGTGTTTGACCATGTCTCAGTAGGAATCAAGGAGCAGTACTCTAGCCTTCCTAGAAGTAAAATTTTATTTAGCATAAACCTCTGTGTTTCTAGAAGCATGAGGAGGTTGCATCATGAAATGATAATGTGGAAATCTGTGTTGCAGTAATCAACAGGAAGGAACAACTCTGGAGTTACTTAGATAATGACTTGAGCCAAAATGCCTACTTCCTTAAACCCCTTGCAGATTTATACACTTTCTTGGAATAGTTAAATTCCTTTCCCCTACCCTAGCACATACTCATTCCTATGAAACCTTGAAGACTCTTGGTTTGGGGTGATGAATTTGAGCTTAGGCTCCCATCACGTCAGGTGACTCCATTTTCTGGTTAATAAAGTGTTTCCCTGTTTCAAATGCTCAGTGTTGAGTGATTAGTCTAATTTGGCATTAGGCACATGAACTGACTTGACAATAATATGCTTAGCCCATTTTTAGGGTAATCCTGTTGATCTGCCACTATCTCTAGTGCACTCAGATCAGAGGCAGGGAAAGGGGTTGTCTTGGCACCACTACCTGTTTCAACTCTCACTGCACTGATAATGGAGAAGGCTAAGAACCATCTACATCACACACACAACAAAATGACTTTGTGCCTGGAATGCAAGTTCACTTATAGGCTGACAGTCCATGCACTTCTCCCCCCAACAAGCGCAACAAATACCAGATACCTCCGTCCCCTCCTCTGACACTGGAAATACCAGGCATACTATAAGCCAAACACATCTGACAAGTTCAAGGCAAAGCTCACAGACAACATGGCATTTTCCCGCAGTGGTCAGTGGTGGGCACCAGCCTGGTGTAATAAGGCAATCCAAGGGAAAGGGGAGGTTCCAGGTTCCCTGCTCCACCCAAGGAAGGGTAGAGCGAGCAGAGAGGGGAAGGTAGAGAAGACAGGGAGAAGGAAAGAAAGAGACCAGGAAGACCCAGAGGAGGCACATGGAGCAGAAACACATGTGAAAAAGCTATTCTTGCTACTCAAACTTGTACCAGGGGCTTGGGGGGACATGGAAGGATACACTTGAAAAAAACAGTGATGTGGGTGAGAGACTCCTGGGGAGGTTGACAATGGCAGCCTTTACCTTGACTTGTATTTTGATTTTGCTCCTTTCATCCCAGACTTACCTGGCCCTTTCTGCCCCTTCTCTGTGGTCCAGAAGGTACCTTAGATTTGTGGCAAGCTTTTGGGACAACCCTGTTTGGCTAGGAATTTGCCCATGAGGGGAGGGGTAACTTTGGGTATTTAATTGGAAACTACTTTAACTATATTCTTTCTCTTCTTTTTTTTTCTTTCTTTCTCT